CGTTACTTATCAAATAAACTATTTAACAGAAAAGAGATCTAACAATTTCCCTAGTGTTAATCTCCAAATATTTGAATGTTATTAAATTGTGACAGAAAATAAACAATAAATTTCTATATGTATATTTAAACGTGAGAATATTACAATCAGTTTATTAGGATGACAAAATCGATCATAGTTTAATCACATCTTCTGTTTGAAGTTATAACATGATATATTGTTCATTAAATGAATTTGTAAACGAAATTAAAAAATTTCTTTAAATAGTTCTTTTCAATATCAATGATTGCAATTATAACGGTGTAATTGATCGTCTTCATATTATTAACATATGTTCATGTCGTATTGAAATTACTCAGTTTCTTTATATATCTAATGTCATAATGTGTTTCAATTAAAATCGTCATAATAATGAGATGAAGGCACAATTAATTTGAGGGTATGAGTATGGATGTCGGTATTAGTGTGAGTGAAGGTAAAGAAGAATACAAAATCTATGCGCACACCCACACCTACCCTCAAAAATGTGAACATCATCTCCCAAATAATTATGAATATTGGATCTTTTGATCACGAAATTAAAATGCTGAATATAGAAAGAATCGAATGCTAGCCGATCAAATCGCTAATTTACATCTATATCTATCAATGAATAGAATATATCGGTCGGATTCTATTTATTGAATATTATATATAATATTTCATCTGTTAGATTAAGTATATTAATATAGCTGCTTTTTAAAATGTAAGAATAATATTCATACAGTCATGTTATATGATAATGAATTCCCGATGTTATTTTTCGTTCTACCTAAATTTTTTATTATTCGTAACGAAAAACAAAAAAAAATACGCAGTCACGTTTTAATAAAATGCATTTTAAAAAGGAAAGTAATATTCTAATTGAGTTGAGTAAAAAAGTTTGAAATATGTTTCAAACTGTTTTTTTTCATCAAAAAACAGTATTGCCCAAGTTGAACAATCAGATTCAGAAACGGACTATTTTCTGCGGGTTTCAGACGGAAATTCACAAAATACCGCTTCAGGAATCATCGTCCTTGGTGATGTCTTTATGAATTTTTCATAAATAATTTTTTTGTTCTTCCTAAGAAACATTACTTTTTATTATTATTTTCTGACTCCAGTTAAATTACTTTACCAAGTCTTTCGTTTCTTTGTAGTGCAATTTCTCCAACATCGTTTTGTAATGGAGCAAGATCATTCATAAATCTTTTACTATAATATTCATAAGAGACGATTCTAAAAAATTTTTTTTTTATGTAAAACTGAAAAATGATCTATTTTACTTGATAAAGAATAATTCAATGCATCGTTGCGTACTGCTGATCGTTTTTAATGTCATTTCGTATATGTGTTCGATAATACACGCCTTACGCGTATATAATTCCATTACGGCATATTTCTAAAAAGAAATTTTAAATAAATATTTGATTGAACAATAGAAATTACATCATGCATCTCTTTATGAATGGCCAATTCAATTAGTTTATCATATCAAGCGGTTGAAATAAATTCATGATGTTGTTCGAGAAAATTTTTCGATTCAGCATCATTATCAAGTGATGCATAGTTTCTTAATTTTTTATCGATTTGAAGATTATTATCAGCATTATCATCGCTACTGTTCTCCTTACATACTAAAAAAGATTACTGAGTAGTTTATGTAGTAGTTAATAAAGGATACGGTTTGCTTACACTGTTTAAATCTTAAATTATATAATTCATCTGATTGCTCATCAGTATTATCGGATAGCATTTTCATAACTTTTTCAGATTGATTGTCAGATCGAATATCATTCTTAATTAATTCATTTTCCAATTTCAGACCAAACTTTACCTGAAATAAGTTTTTTGAAATAATTCTAAATTTTTTATTTTTATTATCTTATTCAAAACTTTCACATCATTCGATTCAGACGCCATTTCCCAGGTCAAACAATCCAGCACGAAAACAGCCGGTTCCCTAGTATCTCGAAGATTTCATGAAAGTAGTATCCCCTTGAATGGATCCAATGACCGTAACAGATGATTCATGGAGTACTGCTTCAGGAATCATCGACCTGGGTTTTGAATTAAATAAGTTTGCTTCGTGCTATGGTTAAATAAACACGTTGTTATTCCTTTTTTTGAGTTTCTGGTTAAGGCGACTGTCTGGATGCATCAGTATGTTCGACAAGATTATCTTCGATTTATTACAATTCTTAAACCATACATGGTTGTCTGAACTATTTGATTCATTGAATTAAAACATTTAAAATTCTTTATCCTTAAAATATTTTTTATTTTAAATCAAAGAATTGTTGAATAAATATCAAAGCCATTCTGACAATTTTTGAATTAAATTTTTTTCTGAAAATATGCATTTGATTGATTAATGAATGGAATAGATAATAATAGAATCTGTTTAATACGTTTATTAATATCATCATGATTATTATCATTTTTAAATGTCAGAATTAATACAATTACTTATTCTTCAAACATTTTTTTATTTGATTTAAAGTTAAATCATGATAGAAATTTTTTTTTACATTAGTTCAAGATAAAGACTATTAGAGTGTGAAGAAAATTCTTCAAAATGTTTTCTATTTCAAATGCATGCTTACATAATTGAAGAATATTTTCAATAAAATAAAATGATTAAAATGAAATAAATTCATCATTCTAATCGTTTTCCTTTTTTATCAATTTGCTTTTTTTTAAATGAAGAAAAGTATAGAATTAAATCTTCATATTCAATTAATGAAATTCTTTCAAGAGTTTCATTTATTGTTGAAAGAAAACATATTGATGATATTGATAGTAATGCATGTTTTAAGACTAGTTTTAATTCATTTCATCAAACTTATCGAACTATTTGACCATCGTTTCCTATCGACTGCGACTTACGTTTTCTATCTTAGAACAGTTATCTGATGGATATGTGCCTCGGATGATCCATCCGATAACATACATACTGTATTATAACGCACAATATGGTCTCTGATTAGTCTGGACATGAGTAAAAGATTCAAACTCCAAGATTGTTGAGTTGATTTGACGAACATCAATGAATCTTTAGATTATTTCGAGCGAAGAAAATTTATGCGAAAACTATGACTTTTGTCTCATGGTCATTCAAAACTAGAGCTTGTGACTACAGTCAATTTAAACTAACTATCTCTTATAAAATTATAATTGCGAGTGGGTGTGGATATTATCTTTATCTAATATCCAAACTCACACCCACCCACACTCAAATTCTACTTATACATGAATAAATGTTTTTGATATTAAATAGATTTAAATGTTCTCATAAAGTTCAAATTAATTATATCAAAAAAAAGAAAAAACTACATAATTATGTCATTGAGTATATTTAGATAAGAATTTCCATAAACATGGCTAGATTACACACGGTTACTGATAAAGCATACAATAGAGAGATATGTGCTGGATTAAAATAAAATGGAGTTGTTTAAAGACCCATGGTATGCATTGCAGTAGTAATTCTATCAACAATGTACTAAACAAAAACAAAAATAAATAACGAAATTTTTAATAAAACAAATTTATTCTACTCGAGCTTCAGATATATTTCGATATATAACCATTTTACCAAATGAACGAGTTGACTTTAATGTTCCAGTTTTCTTTGGTTCCTTAAATAATAAATAAATAGAATATTTTATCTTTTAATTTGTTTGGCTAATTACTTTTGTAAGAATTTGTATTTGATTTGAATAAGATTTCACAACTGGTTCTTCTCTTAAATCTTCATATTCAATTCGCCAATCAATTTCATATAAACCAAGAAATGATATTTCAGTTATAAATAATAAACGTCTAAAATTTTTCGAAATTTATTTTAATAAAATAATTAATCAAAACGTTTTTACTTTGACGTAGCTAATAACCAAGATGGTGGACTGTCTAAACAAGTTATATGTGCAACATACGTATCTGTTTTAGCATATTTCCCATTTTTTAATTTCTAAAAATATATTTCAAAAAGAAAATTTATTAGAATAAAATATAAATTAAAATAATTACATTTAAAATAAAAAATCCCATTGCTTCGTGAGAAATATATGGTCGAACAAGACCATCACGACCAACATGACGTGGATAACGAACACGACGTACAACTTCTTCTTGTTGAGCAGTTCTAAATAATTTCAATATAATAAAAATAAAATTAATTAATTAATTTATTCTTTACCGTTTTATTAGATCTAATGAAGTACTTGCAAAATCAACAATTCCACCTGTTGGTTTTGTAACAAGACCAATAAAACCTTTTCCTAAACCTTTAACAAATCCTGATGCACCACCTTCTTTAGCACCTGAAACTGGTTTTGTAACAACACCTGTTACACCATTAACAAAACCCTTTACAAAAAAAACAAACAATTAAAAACTCTAATCAAACATATCTTCTCATCATACCATAACAACATTTCTTCCTCCAATAGTAATATCAGTAGTTCTATGAGTTGTTGGTTCTTTTCGTCTTATACGTGAAATTTTATAATCTTCATCAAATGTTAATGTAGCTAAACCTTTTCCAAGTACACCAGTTATTTTTGAAAATGCACCAGCAGCACCACCAACAGCTGAACCAACTAATGTTCGAACACCTGTTGCTACACCTTCAGCAAATTCCACTGGACCTTCAATTGCACCCTAAAAGATAAAAATCCATATTTATTTACATATATATCATTTAATTTCTTACTCTATATGGCTCATAAAAAAATGATTCAACACCTTCAGCAAGACCACGAATAACACCAAATGGATTTCCAAGTACATCAAGACCAAGAACAAGTACATGAAGTTGTTTCATAAATTGATTTTGATAATGAGATGAAACTTCATTCGATAATTTTGTTATTGTATATCGATCGTGTATTCGTTCATAGTAACCCAAACTATACATACGAAAAACAACATATACAAATGAACTTATTATTTTTCTTTTATAGATAAATCTTACCGTAAAATAACATCTTGTACTTCTGCAACATTTAATGTTTGTAATAAAAATGCAACTAATGGATATTCAGCTAATAATACTTGACTTGATTTTGATCCATGCATTGAAAAACTAACATGAATCTAAATGAGAGATATTGATTTTTTTAATTTAATAATAAATGATTTAAATATACTTTGAGTGGTGATAAATGTATATTATCAAAATACATTTCTGTTTCGCCTGTTGGACTATCAGTTAATGCTTT